TTTTTTTTTAAAATTTTTTTATAAATAAATTTGTTTTTTTTTTTTTTTTTTTTTTGACGGTTGTCAATAATTATTATTTGGATATATGTGAAATGTCTTCATTAAAAAATTAATAAAATAAAAACATTAATTATAAAAAAAAAATCGTTAATAAGAATCAATAATGAGTCAACTATATAATCAACATTTCACTCTCATTCATGAACAATATGGAATTCTTATGTATTATAATTAGTATAATTTGTATTATCGTTATTATTATTATCAATGTTATGCATAATTATTATAGAAAGACTAGATATTTAGTGCATATATACATATTATTTATATATACTTGATCACTTGCTGAATCATCGTTTGCATGATCTCAAGATGACGCACTGTTCATGGCATAACTGAAACATCAGCTACTAGTTAGCTTGGCGCTAAAGCTTCACTCTAACGGGACTCAAAGCTCAGCTCAGCTCAGCTGCATTTCGATTGGCGCGACGATCATTCGAACGCCATTTGCCAAAAACAGAACCAAGTACAGCCAACGGAGTTATTTCTCTTTTTTTTTTCTTTTCTTTTCCTTATTATGTTTTTTTTTGTTCGCTTTGGCACATTTTGGGCCGAACTAATGAGTTGTAATAAATTTGCAGCTCGGGTACATTTAGCATTAAACCATTTTTCAACAGACGTCGATTTAGCACGAGCCATAAATTAAGGCTGGCAACAAGGACACGCCGGATACGATGCGAACGGATGTGGCCGGTCACGTATGTACGTGGCAACAACCACCGATCGGAAGTTGACAGCGCGAATGTAACGTAAAATTGGGATGGCGGGGGTACGAGCACGGGTACGGGTACGGGTACGTGTACAGAGGGAGGTAGGTAGGGACTGGCAGTCAGCTGGAGGGTAGGTGGGCAGCTAGGGAGTGCCCTGTAACTTTGCCGGCTGCAGAAGGGTGCAACTAGATGCGATTTTTCATACCATACCGACAACCCCTATAAATGCCGAGCTTACATTTACAACACTTACACACACACACACACACGCAGAGTGAGGTAGAGTGCGAGAGAAACTAGAGCCAGAATTTGGTGTGTGCGTAATTCTGTTGAGGCTCTCACGCACGATCGTCATTTGATACTCTTGGCTACCGACAAACCGGAATTTTAAAATGTTTTACAACGGCCACGTAAAGCAGGCCCGAAACTCTGTATGCGTGTGTATCCATCCGTTCTACTTACATCCATGGCATAGTAGCGTATTCCAAATTTATTCAATATGAACGCCTCGTAGGGGTCAATGTCCCTCAGGCCAATGTAGACCAATTGATCCTTCGACAAACTGAAATTAGTCACAAAGAAAAGAATTGAATATCAGAAAGAGACAGAAAACAGAAAGAAAGGAAGACAGAGAGGGAGAGAGCCTGTTAAGGAGATTGTGGGTAGAGGTAAGGAGAGAAGGGGAGCACAGCTGAAATATGCCTGAAGCCCAACAACAGCACTGCGCTTTTAGGCCATGTTTAAGCTGGTGGGGCATATGTGTGAGGTTATGTTGTTTCTCAGACTGGAATAAGTTAGAAACAATTCCTTGATCTCAGAAACATTTGAGAAAAAGAGAGAGCCGGCAGGGAGAGGATAGAGAGGAAGACAACGAGCGACCGTAGATCACTATCAACTTGGAGAAGAAGAGGGGGTTGAGAGAGAAGAAATACGGAAGAGAGTAACGAAAGAGACTGAGACAAAGTGGAAATCAAGACAAGGAGAAAGAGCAGAGTAGAGACAGAGAAAAGGAGGAAGAAACTGCTGAGAAAGAGGGACAAACTAAGTGGGAATGGAAAGAGAGAGAAACTGGAGTGAAGGAGAGAGAGAGAGTGGAAAAATAGAGGATGGAGTGAAATATAGAGACGGGGAGGCAGAGAATGATTGAATGAGAATAATTATGAAGAGAGAGACAGAGAGAGAGAACGAAGAGAAAAAGAGATTTAGAGAGATAATGAGAAAGGTAGGAGAGAGAGAATGCGCGCTATTTCTACTAAATTGTTTACATCTAATCCCAGCTTAGCTTTTAATCTCATGTAAACTAAACTTGGTCTTTTTTCCGGAATATACAAAGTTGTTGGGGACTTAAATGCGACGGACAGAAAGGAAATAGGGAAGTAAGAAACGGAGAGGGCGACTTTGGTAGACGGATAGGAAGAAGCAGAAACGAAAACACATGCCACAATCAAAATGGCACTGCAGCATATCCTGCACCCCTCTGCATGCTGCGTGCCAGTTTCTCACCCTCGGCGATCGGGAGCGAGCGAATTCTCGGTGTCTTATGGTAATTTTTACGATTATTATTATTATTATTATTATTTTTGGGTTCGGGAGAAATTGCATCTGTCGATCGTGCGCTGTGCAGCGAGACGTGCAAAGTTGAAAACACCCTGAAGGACCCTTATGTAAATGTAAATGTGCCCGAGGCAACTCACCTCACTTCCACAGCAAGGGAGGGGGATGTGTGGCCGTCTGTCTGTCTGTCTTTGTGTGTGGCTCTGATGAATCAAGCCATAGCTGGGACCCGTTTGGCCAGTCTGATCCTGCCGAGCCGTAGACTGATTGGTGCAGCGCCTGCAGCAATGCTGGATATTGTTTTTAATTTTGTTGTTGTTGTTGTTTTTCTTTTTTTGTAAGTTGTTGTTTGTTTAAGTTCTGAATCAGTTAAGGGTGCGCCTCTTGTGCTGCAACCCCCAAATGAAAAAACAAAAATCAAGAGAAAATATTGATGTTCTTTGTTTCTGTCATCTTGCGTCCGCTGCTTTTTTAATCCGGCTTTGTTGTAATATGCGCCCAAGGTGCTGGGCACAATGCGTTCTGTTGCCGCCAGAGCCAAAGGATTAGGCTTACTCTTCTGCCCATTCTCATTCCCTTTCCCTTGCTGTTCCCCTTCCCCTGCCACTGTGCCGTTTTGTATTCAACGGGCCAGAGTCGCTGGCATTTGGATTTTGTAAAAGTCTGGCAACATTGCAAAACTGCTGCATACTGCGTGGCGCCGGCATTGACCAAGAGCGGGGGAGAGAGAGAGAGACGAGCTGAAATCCAAGCACGTGGCCATAGTCTACACGGCGAGCACCCACACAAACACACACGCACATACGCACACACGCGCGCACACACACTGACACATGGTGAACGGCAGAAATTGGCGCAAATTAGCTATTATCACAAAAACTTATCGTCATGGAAATAAATACCTATGTGTGTGTGTGAGTGTGTGAACGATTTTTGAATGTGAAGGGTCACATGGGTTACCTCTGAGGCATTACTATGTATACAAAATATATATATACATATATATAAATGGTTAGTCTTATATTAAATTTTAATTGATTTAATAAATGTAAAAAATACTTATTTAATATTTAATTTTATACTGAAATTGCTTCAAAAATACATTTGTATTAAATATTGAATAGTACACAGAGATACAAGTAGTTAAGATTAAAACAAATACAATTTGAATTACAGAGCTTTATACATAAATATACATCGAACGAATCCTAAGTTAATCCCGATTTACCCAAGGCACCTAAAGCATACGAAATATATTTATCTCCTATAGCCCTAGTGCCAGTACCTAATAACTGTCTTACAGTACTTGAACATGAAAGTATATCAAGTATATAATCGAACTGAAAGTAGCTAGGAATAAAAATAAAATATTAAATAAAGTATTCCTATTTAGTCCTATTTAATTTACATCCACTTTCATATGAGACTCTAAAAAATGACTCCTTATATTTCTATACATGTGGGATTATAAAATTCTATATATATTAGTATACATATATATTAGTAAATATATACATGTGCATTTATATAAATTATGCTTATCTTGGCCAGGATACGGCAACGGGCGAGCACTTGCACGTCACCGATCAGTCTCGTTTGGCCACCCCACTTTGGCAACGACAATGGCAATGGCCATGGCAACGGCAACGGCGCCGGCTGACCGTCTGGCAACCCAAATCTCGTAAAAACCACCCTAGCTGTAAAAAGTTGAGTTACATTTTGATGTTTCGCGAGCGACGACAAAAAGAATAACAATGTGTTCACTGTGTGTAAATTGGAACAGACAGGCGGCGGTATATTTGTAATGTTGTGCCATACAAATCAGCACATGGTAACCGGTGGCCAGCAGCAGCAGCAGCAGCAGAACAGGAAGCACATATACACATACATATACATACATAGAATATGATGAATACAAGCGCAATTAAGCACACGCACGCATTCACGCTTGCCAAAAACCCAGCCCATGTCGAACGAAACACTCGCTAGACAGGCGATTGCCATCGAGTTAGGGGGTGTACGCTGTACAGAAAACAACCCCAGCGTTGGTGGTGGCAGTGCAAAACAGGCACAGACACACACAGATGCAGCAAGCATGACAAACAGCCCTCGCGGTTGGCAAGGATAATGTGCAGGCAAAGAAAGAGACACGGAGAGAAAGAGACTAGCCAGCACATAAGCTGCATCATAAAACGGTTGACGACCTCATATTGAATTTTACTTTTTTTTTCATTTCAAGAAAAAACAAAAAAAACATAAAAATAAGAAGAAAACAAAAATTGTAATATTCGAAAGTAGATTAAAATTTAAATTCTAACGCAATTTTGCCATTCACTCAATGCTCTGTTGTGCAACATTCTGGCAACACTTTTTGGATAGTTTGCGGGCGACTGTGGGCGTATGTTTGACATGCTTGCTAGCATACATACATACATACATACATATGTAGATATTTCCAGGCTGTTGGAACGGCACATCCATGAACACCGCCATTTTGATTTTTACTCACGGGCAAATGTATTGTATTATTTGGTAATAATTCTTTGGGCGCTTAAATTTTAAATGTTGGGAACTATGCCCCTGCTACATAAAATATATTTTGCCTGACCATATTTGAATAAACCGCGACCATTCGGAAATATTGATATCGTAAGGAGAATCCCTATGGCCAATCACCCACCAATAGCACCCGGGTTAACGAAGTTAGACGATTTTCCAGAGAAAGGAACCGATTACCTGAGAGAGTACACCATTCGGAGAGTAAAACTCGTATTGAGCATACAAAATACGAAAACAAATCAAGAAAAATAACAACAGCAACAGCAGCAGAAGCAACAACAACAATAATAATAAGAAAAGAAAAAAAAACGGTCAAACTCGCTTCCCCTTGATCATACGTTCTGAGTGCTCTCAGTCTCGCTCTCGCTCTCGCTCTCGTTTCGTACAACTCAACACATGCACATATGTGTGTACGTACTACGTTGCGAGTATGCGTATGTATGTATAGTCGTATGGGGTAGCAAGCTTTGTGTTGGTTGTGCTCGCATTCGCGTAATTTTCATTTCTACGCTAGACGTTGTCCGCCGCAGTACGTTTAAATGCTCGTGTGCGCTGCCTCAGCTCGTGTGCTCAGCTCATTTTGCAATTGATTTTTTATTTTTTTTTTGAAAAAAGTAATGAAAATACCGACAAGAGTATACAATTGTTTAAACAAAATATAAGCATTGCCATAGAAAACTACGTGAAGTGAACGGTCAAAAACAACAACTAGAAAATACCACCAAAAAATTCTCATCATCAACAACAACACAACAGTAGCAGCCGCAGCCGCAACAAAACGTAAGAGTACCGTATAACATCGACAAAAAAAAAAAAAAACGCTACCAAGAAATAAAATGCTACGAAAATTGCCAAACGACCACTACGCGCTGCATAATTGTGCAATTATATACACATGCATAAATATATATGTATTTTTTTCTTGTGTGTGTGAAACAGTTTGATATATGCATGCTAAAATGCAAAATTACAATATGCAATGGGTATGGAGGAAAAATGTGGGCAAGACGCACACACTACGGCAGCGCCAAACAGTTCAACAAACTCAAAAGACTGGCAAAGAGGCAAACAAACGATCAGTGTCGGGGGTCGGCAGGGCTGGAAGACCGAACAAATCAGTAGTAAAGCAGTCGTAGTAAAAGTAGTAGTTTGTTTAAGTTGTTGTGCGTTCAAATCTACTGCTAAATGCCGCAGTGCTGCTGCGACCACAATCATTCTTTCTCTCTCTGCCTCTGTGCTGTGTATCTGTAAAACGGTTTTCCTATGTGAGTGAGTGAGTGTGTGTGTGTACACTGCTGCTGTGTCTGAGTAGCTGTGTGAGTGGCAAAAAGGGCGCAGCTAGCATATCGATTTTATGTGCAGAAAGAGAAGCAACCATTGTAAGCCGACAACTACAACTACAGCAGCAGCGAAGGCAAATAGTAGTAGACTTGGAGCACACTTCATTTTCCATTCAATTTTGCTGCAGTGCCAGAAAGCGATTACTGAAAGCCGGCAGCTAAAGTTTTAAAGTAGGAAATTATAAACAAAATGTTAGTTGTGGCTGTGCGTGTCTATTTTTTTTAAGTCTATAAGTAGTAGAATTAGCATTTGCTGAGAAAGCGTAGTGTTTTGTTGCCACAGCAACACTTAAAGCTAAACAAAAAACATGTAGTTCGCGGAACAGCGAGAATTGCGCGGAAATACAAATTAGAACAATTTTACAGCAAACGCTACAGCAGTGTATAGTTCTATATTTTTGGTGTGCACTTCGTTTTTAATTTTACTTGTTTTTAAATTAAACAAGAACAACTAGCATAGTGGAAATAAAAACGAAAGCAGCGCGTGTTTTAATTTAATAAGCGCGTCGTCTAGCAATAACAAAAAACTTATAGATACTAAGTGCGTCTGTGTGAGTGTGTGCGCGAGTGTATGTCTGCTAATATATACATATATGTATATGTGTGTGTGAGTTTGTTTGCAAACATATTCATTTATATGCCTGCATACACACATTCGTAAAGTAAAGTAAAGTATGCATGTTTTTATGTAAAATAAGTGCGTTGGCTCTAATGCAAATGTATGTATGTGCATATAAACAACAACACGCGAAACAAGAACAGCAACAACAACAATGCAGGGAAATGCTATACATTGTATAGCTAGCAGACTAAATGGCGCAAGAGAGAGAAGGAGAGACGCGGTTGGTCGTTCGCGCTCAGCACGCTTCGCTCTCTTCCCAATGGCGTTCGCCATAAATTAGCACAGTGGCAGAGCCGCAGCAGCAACTGAGAGATACTGTTATAATCATCAGTATTATAAAAAAAAAACAGACAAACGCAAAATTACAATAACAACAATGGCAGCAGCAGCGGCACAGTACGAAATTGTGTAACAAAACATTTGCGTCGATTTGTTTTAAATAGTAAAATATGAATTTATACATGTGCACATAGACACACATTCATTTACGCATGTATTGTGTATATACGCTGTCTGTGTATTTGCATGTGCGCAGAATTGGGCAAAAATTTATACCTTTTTGTTCATCTTTCTGTTCTCGCTTTCGTTGTTGTTGTTGTATGTGCGGTTGCTTGGGTTTTGAAAAATCGATAAAATCGATAAAGACGATAACACCAACGCCCAATGGCAGCAACATATATGCAGTTATATTTACCGCTTCTTTTGTTTTTGTTTTATCTACACTCTTTTTCATACAACAACATTAGACGACGACGACGACTACGTAAACGACAACGGCAGCGTTTGTTTAATTAATAGCATCAAAATTGCTGCAATTTAATACAACAGCAACAACAAAAACATATCCTGGATAAATTGAGAGCATTGTCTAGCCGACTGCTGAATAACAGTGAGCAGCAGTAAGGGAGAAAGACGAAATCAAACGGAGTAGCGCCGTGTAGAGCGCGTGCGCGACAACAAATCAAAGCAAATCAAATTTGTTTGGTAAACACAAAATAGCAACATTTTAACTGAAACAAGTGAGTATATTTTCAACATATCTACATATACCTGTGCGTATGTAAGAGCATACACATTTACATATATCTATAACTGTATATGTACACATAAAAGAAGCGAAAAGGATGAGCGGGCATATTCCAGACATTTTAAAATCGCACGCAGTTCATGGTGTGGGTGAGGTAGTTAGTGAGCAAATGAGTGCCTGTGTGCGTGGGCTGGTGTCTGTCTGTATGCGTGTTTGATTTTGTTTGACCTTTTGACTTGTATGTGTAACATGCGAGAGACGCTGTCAGGCCAACAGCAACCACCCAATGTGCAAGTTCACAGATCATGCAACAGCAGCCGTTGCGACGATAGCGTTGCCAGACAGTTCGAATGAAAATAAGCAACGTTTTGTTTGTTCCAGATAAAAGGGGGGTGGCATTGTTCTGCTGTATTTAACCCTCAGGCGAGTCCAAGCTTACGTTTTGTGCATGCATATGTGTGAGTGGTAGTAATTTTTGCAAAAGCAATATTACACTTTGTTGTTGGCTTTAAGGGTTGCATATGCAGGGCGGGTGGGTTGCACGGTAGCACGTTCAACGTCGGATGCTCATTTTTAGTTACAAACTTTTTTATTCCTGGTTTTTTTTTATGGTTGCCTTTCGGCTTTCGTTTTCGTAAGGGGTATGTCCTGCCACTGTGGGAAGTAGAGTTCGTTGCCGTTGCTGCTATGCGTGTGCGTATATATGTATATGTTCATATATATATGTGTGTGTATTACATAACTGGGTTTGGCCGGGTACATTACGTGCTTTGTTACAATTTACAACAACAACGACAAGAAGAAGAGCATCAGCAGCAACGATGTTAACGACAGCCGGAACAGGAGCGGTAATAGGACGAAAGACGCTAACGCCAGCATAACACGAATGCCTTGTAAGGACCTGCGCTCAGTAGCATCGCGTGCTTGCGACGCAGCGGGTCTCGCATCGGCATCGACATCGGCAACGACAATTTCGAAAAAGCTCAACTTAATAAATACAACAACAAAAAAAGAGGAGCAAAACTTCCAATCAGTGAAAAACTCCTTTTCCCACGCAGTTGTAGGTGTGTTTGTGTGTGAGCTTGTGTGCGTTTAATGTTAATTATTGTGTGTGCTTGAGATTAAAAACGCTCTCTTGGTGGCTGGCTCGTGCACTAGCACTGGCTGTCTCTGTCACTCTCAGTGTCTATCTCCCTATCTCTGTCTGTCTCTCTCCCACGCCCGCTCGCTCGCTCTGTTTTTGTGTGCGTGTGGCTGTTTCTACTTGTGTTTGTGCGTGTGTATGTGTGTGAGAGAGGCAAAAGTAAGTTTTGAACGAAAGTTTTTCGTTAAACTGGCCCGCTAGATGGCGCCAGTGTGCATGTTCTGCATTGAATGTGTCGTCAATAACTAACCGAAATCAAATGCAATAAAAAAGAAATGCTTCGGCTTGTCGAAGTTCAAATACCCTTGCAGCCACAGTAGTCGCACGCTAAGTGCAAATATGTATATACTGACAACTTGTAGATATTTAAATTTAATCAATTTGATATGTGCAATATTTAAATTGAATTAATATTGATTTAGTTTTGGTTTGTGAATGGAAACTGTCTATACGATTTAATTACTGATAGAATTTTAGTGCAAGTGCAAAATGAATGAAACAAAAGTAATATTTAAAGCTAGTATGAATTTAATAAAGTTATTAGTTGATATAGTTAGTTTTGTTTTAGAAATTAATTAATTACTAAAGAAATCTTAAAGAAATTAAAAAATGGGAATAGATATAAAGCGTGTTTCATTATATTAAAGACAGGATTTAACGGAAATTGTAAAGCTAATGCTAGACATTAAAGAAACAAACAAATTCTATTCACAGGGTATCCTGACCTGCTGCAAGGGTATCCTGACCATTTTATTATATATTAGTTAAGAGAGGGTACCGATGAATGGGTCCAATGGGGTCTATTTAATTTCTAAGTTAACTTGAAGTAATCGCTTCTAATCCACTTGACTAATGGTTTAATCTTGACATTCAATCCTTTCCATTTTCTATGTGATCCGTCTGTGTTGCATCTGCCCCTCCCCCACAACGAACAACGAACACAATAACAACAATTGATTGGAAAACTCACAGTGGACTTTATGATGGCTAATACGGGCGCCACCGGCGTGGAGACACAGGCGCAATTGATGCAGAGCGCTGCCGCGGCCGCTGCCGTTGCAGCTACAAATGCGGCAGCACCGGTGCAGAGTGCAGCGGCCGTGGCCGCCGCCGCCCAGCTGCAGCAGCAGCAGCAACAGGTGCAGCAGGCCATACTACAGGTGCAGCAGCAGCAGACACAGCAAGCGGTTGCCGCAGCAGCCGCCGCCGTCACCCAGCAACTGCAACAGCAACAACAGGCCGTCGTACAGCAGGCCGTCGTGCAGCAGCAACAGCAGCAGGTCGTGCAGCAACAGCAACAGCAGCAAGTACAGCAAGCTGTTGTCGCCGTGCAGCAGCAGCAGCAGCAACAACAGCAGCAGCAGCAGCAGGTCCAGCAACAGCAGGTGCAGGTGCAGCAGCAGGTCCAACAGCAGGTGCAGCAGGCCAACACGAACGGCAACTCGGGCGGCGCCCAGAACGGCAGCAACGGCAGCACAGAGACGCGCACAAATCTGATTGTGAACTACTTGCCACAGACGATGACGGAGGACGAGATCCGTTCGCTGTTCAGCAGCGTGGGCGAGATTGAGTCGGTGAAGCTGATACGGGACAAATCGCAGGTCTACATCGATCCGCTCAATCCGCAGGCGCCCAGCAAGGGCCAGAGTCTCGGCTATGGGTTTGTCAACTATGTGCGGCCCCAGGATGCGGAGCAGGCGGTGAATGTGCTGAACGGCCTGCGTTTGCAGAATAAAACGATTAAGGTGTCGTTTGCGCGTCCCTCGTCGGATGCCATCAAGGGCGCCAATCTGTATGTGTCGGGCCTGCCCAAGACGATGACCCAGCAGGAATTGGAGGCGATCTTTGCGCCATTCGGTGCGATCATCACATCGCGCATCCTGCAGAATGCCGGCAACGATACGCAGACCAAGGGCGTTGGTTTCATACGCTTCGATAAGCGCGAGGAGGCAACACGTGCGATCATCGCGTTGAACGGCACCACGCCCAGCAGCTGCACCGATCCGATTGTTGTGAAATTCTCAAATACGCCCGGCAGCACCAGCAAGATCATACAGCCCCAATTGCCCGCATTCCTCAATCCGCAGCTGGTGCGACGCATCGGAGGCGCCATGCACACGCCAGTGAACAAGGGACTCGCACGCTTCTCCCCAATGGCCGGCGATATGCTCGATGTGATGCTGCCCAATGGACTGGGAGCTGCTGCTGCGGCGGCCACAACGCTGGCCAGCGGACCGGGCGGTGCATATCCCATATTCATATACAATCTGGCACCCGAAACAGAGGAGGCGGCCCTCTGGCAGCTATTCGGGCCCTTCGGTGCTGTGCAATCGGTGAAGATTGTGAAAGATCCCACAACGAATCAGTGCAAGGGCTATGGCTTTGTCTCCATGACCAACTACGATGAGGCGGCCATGGCCATACGTGCTCTCAATGGCTATACTATGGGCAATCGGGTGCTGCAGGTCAGCTTCAAGACCAACAAGGCCAAGTAGACTGCTTCTGCTCTCTGCTCTCTCCCTCTCTCCAACAGCAACAATAGCAGCAGCAGCAGCAGCAGCAGCAGCAGCAGCAGCTACAGTAAACCCTGCCAATTCACCATGAAGGAGCAGCAAATAGGAGTGCAAGTACACCCACACACATACACACACCTACACACACACATACACACATACTTTTCTAGTTGATACACAGAGAGAAACTTCACTTATACATATATAAATATGCATGGTCTTAAGGCTAACTAAGCGCAACAATAGTGTGTTTAACACACACGAACACACACACATACAGAGACACACGCACACACACACACATACTACAAACAACTACCATGCGAATGAAGCAAGCAAAAAAGAGAAACCGAAAACTTGAATTTTTTTTTTTTTTGGAGCTCTCCTTCGGCTTCACGTCTAAACAACGAAATGACGGCCCACACAGCGCCGGCCGTTGCAATAGCGAAATTCTTGTTTAGCATTAAGTAAAAAGTAAAAAAAAAAAACAAAACAAAAACAAAATACAAATCTAAACTAAAGTAAACTAAACATTAAACAAAAGAAGATAATTACGATGATGAAGAAGAAGATGATGAGTACGTGTGTAATTGCAATATATAAAAATTAAACAAGCTGACGAAAAAGCAGCTGCAGTCAAATTAGTCGCAAAAAAAAAAAAAAAACAAAACAAAAAAAAAACAAAGAAATCAGCAAAACAACAATTCTAAGATTTAATTAACCAGAATTAACCTAGCAAAAGGAACATAAACATTTTTTAAAATTATATAACTAAGTAAGCAGCAATGAAATCTTCCAGTAACAAAATGAAAAACAAAAAACTTTTCTATATAAAATTAAAAAAAAAAACAAAAAAACAAAACAAAGACAGCTAAGAAATGTGTGGAAAAGAAACAGAAAGGCTTGAAAGATTTCGAAACAGTTCATTTTTCTCGCAGTGTAGACGTCAGTGCCGTTAGTTTTTGAGTTTTCCAAGCGAAAAAAAAGTATTAAAGCATAAATAAAAATAAAAAAAAAACATTAAGCATAAAAAGAACACAAGGAGGCTGCTACAGTATTAAAAACAAAAACAAACAAAAAGAAAAAACAATATATATATATATATATATATTTATGTATATATATATTTATACATTTTTAATGTTTTGTGTTTTTTTTTTAACCTTAAATGAAATGAAACAATCGAAAACTAACGGCCGACCCACACACGCATACAGTCAAACACACACACTCACACACACACACATATAGAGAAAGGGCTAGAAATCTAGGGACAAGTGTGCAAAACGGAAAGGAAGTAGCAAGCATGGACGATGAATATTAAAGCAAAAGAGAAAACGCAAAAGTAATACAATAATTTATGCGCAAATTTGAAACGTTTTACTAAAGTAAATAATTGTTAGTGAATATTATACTATAATATTTATACACACACACACACACATACACATACACATACGTATAATTATATATATATCTATATACATATATATTCATATATGTATATATATATGTATATGCCTATGTATGTATATAACCAAACACAACACACACACACACATATATATATAAATATATAACTTATATACTTTATATAATGTATAGTTCAAGCCAGAAAGTAAGCAGCATAAAAACAATTTGCTAATATTTTTAGCGTTAAAACAAGAGAAAGCCTAGCACAAACGAAAAAAAAAAAACCAAAAACAAAAACTCAGTAACTAAATGGAAAAAACAAAAAAAAAAGAACATTTTTTATATGACAAAAACTTTGAGAAAAAAAAGCATTAGCAAAGCGTTTTTCTAGCTATGTAAGTAAAAAAAAAAAACACACACAGACACACACTTTTTGTTAAAGCTTCATAAAACGAAGAAGAAGAGGAAAACAACTAAAATTAAAATTGAATGAAAAATCGCGCAGTTAAGTAAAGCACGCTGTGCACAATATTGTAGCACAGCACTGTATACAATGGCATGCCATGCAGTAAAACAGTTACACACCAACACACATAGGCAGACCGCTACGTACTTGTGCGTGAGTCATGCCGTTGCGTACAGTGGCATGCCATGCAGTGTGTATACAGTGGCATGCCATGCAGTGCATACAGTGCGATAACAGTGAAATTAAGCACACTTGCACGCTGTGCTCAATAGTGTAGCACCTCACTGTAGACTGTAGTGACATGCCAGGGGCCATTTGCCATTTATACGAACAGTGGCTTGCCGTACAGTGTATACAGCAGTGGCGCATTGCATGGATAATAATGAATGATGGAGGCTCCTTCAGGGAGCTGTTCATGTCCGGTCCGTACGTTTCAATGAATGAATGATCTATTTGAAACTCTCTAGTTTCCAACACCCGCTCCGACGCCTCCTCGCCTCCACCCCGCCATCACATCAAATTGTGTTTTGCGTTTTATCAGTTTGAGCAAATTTTGTTTTGTTTTTTGTTTTTTTTTTCTTGTAACTTGATTTTTGCGATTTACAGTTAAGTTTGAGTTTGAATTGAATTTGAATTGGAATTTGAATTTGAATTTGAGATTGATTAATTCGAATTGTGTTTTGTTTGATTTCTTTGTTTAATTTCGATTTACAACAACTACAATAGCAACAACAACAACAACATGAAGAAGAAGAGTGCGCTCTCGTAGTGAATTAGCCATGCATATTTATTTAATGTATATTTAACCAGAGAAAAGTAAAAAATTCAAATATGTTTCTAATTTTCACATTTATTATCGACATTAAGCGAACCCGATCTGTCAATAATGATTTCTTTCTTTATAGTAGCTACAATATCTATATATATATATATATCCTAGGTCTAGTTACAATTAATTTATAACAATTATAAGTTGAAAAACACACACACACACACATTCACACTCACACAGACACATGAAGAAATACCTTAACATGAGAAAAATCCTTAGAAAAAGCAAAAATATTTCTAATCGAACTGGCAACTGGAGAAAAGTTTATGTATAAAAGAACAAGAAGAGAAAATAATATTAAATAATTATTTTACTTTTTTTTTATATAAATATATACATATTATAGGGCAAGAACAAAGGAAAAGCAATTTCTTTATTTTTGTTTGAACAAAATTTGCAACAAGAAATCTAGTCAGCAAACTAAGGTAGAAAACAGAAGCAAAAATACAAATATTTTCAATATATATATATATAGAAAATCAATATATATATATATATATGTTTCCTTAGTCGTAGAAGAAGCAGAGCGACCCCCAAATACTTTTAGTATATTTAGAGCAGGCAGAGAAAAAAAACTTCTTAAGCAGCAACACCAATACTATGAAAATACTAAAAAAAAAAAAAATCAAATTCTAGCTAAAATTTAAGCATAGCAAAATTGATTATAATTAAAAAAAAAAAAAAGGAAGAGAATGAGATACTAGAAACTGTTCAATACTTTTTTTACCCACATATACATACACACACACACACACAGCGAAATTTCTCTTTATTTAGAGAATTTCTTTTCTTTAATTTTCTTATATTTTTTTTTCTTGTAATATTAAAATATCCAAAGATTTATTGCTCTTTATAATTAATTATAATTATGTAAACAGAAGAAGAGAAAACTGAAGTTATATTATGTAGTACCACCCAGTCCCCCCCTCCCACCTCCCGCCATGCGAGACACAACTGTACTCCTCTTGTAATACTTTGACGAAAGTGAAAAAAGAGCGAACGAGGCAGCGAGGGCGAGAGCGAGAGCGAAAGCTTCAACTCCTTCGTCCTGTGCCCCTTTGGCTTTTGCATGCAACTGTAACGGAAAGCGACATACACTCACACAAACACACACACACACACATACAGAGAGACACCTTAATTATTAAGTGAAATGATGTACTTGATTTTGTTTAACTTATTCATCAACAGCTTAATAACTTTATATTTATAGTATATGTTTAATTTGACTTAAAATTAAATTAAATTAAATTTTTCCTCTCTATATTATTTTTTTTTTTTTGTCATATTTTCATTATAATTATATATATGTAATTCTAATATTGTGCAATAGTTTTAACAAATGCAGCCGCAGCAGCAGCAACAACAACAAAACACATGCATCTCAGCTAAATTACAATTATAATTTCCTTAAGATAAAAACATGAAGAACACAAAAAAAAACTTGAAAACTAAAAATGAAAAATGAAAAATGAAAAAAAAAAAAAAGAAAACGAAAATGAATATGAAAATGAAAAGGATAAACTGAAAGAAAAGAAGTGAAATCGAGCAAAAATTATTTATGTTTATGTAATTTAAATATGATTCAACAATATAAATAATTATTTTTTCGTGTAATTTTTTGTATTTAAGTAAATTTGATATATCTATTTATACATATAACTTTTATCTATATATATACACACATATATATATACAGATAATTTTTTTCGTAAACTTAAGTGAAACTGAAGCAAACAAACAACAACAAAAAACAAAAAAAAAAAAACATGAATATTATTTATTGTATTTTATAATTAATTTAAATTCAAATGCAAAAGGAAAAAAAAAATAAGAAACTTTTTCGATTCGCATACAAAAGAGAGAAACAAAGAAACACCAAGCGAAGAGAGCGCTTTTCTCTCTCTGTCTGTATTTCTCCTACTCACTCACTCTCTCTCTCTCTCTCTCTCTCTTTCTCACACACATTGAGATATAAAGAAATTGTTTCGAATTTCGATGTAATTTCAATAATTTTGATTTAAATTTATCATTTTTGTTTCTCTTTTTCTTTCAAACACACACACACACACACACACACACATGAAGTGTATATGTATGCGTATCTAATATACATATACAGATAACTTTAGTGTTTGTTTTTTTTTTTGGCAACTTTTGTTTTCACCTTGATTTTGATTATGTTTATTACTCATTAAATTTATATTTAATTTTATGATTTTGATTTTGATTTTTTTTTTTTCGAACAAAGCAAAGCAAAACATAATAATAATTATTTTTGAATAAAAAAAAGAACACTTTTTGTTTTGGTTTTTAATTTCTTTTTATAAAGTTTAGTTTTTGTTCGTTATTTTATTTTGTCTAATGTTTTTCTCTCCCCCTCGCTCGCTCGCTCGCTCCCTCTCTCTCTCTCTCTCTCTCTCTCTACTGTTCGTAGCTGCTTATTATATATAGATATATATTTATATATGTATATATTATAGACTGCATTCCAGTCCAGACCTAAAGCTAGTCAAGACAAGAATTTATTGATCTCAAATGCTTGGAACATTCCCATTTATTTTTGTTTTTTTTTAACAATGCTGCCAATTGCCGTATGCCGCCCTTTTTATGGGCGTGTCTAGTCAGAGCTTGAGCAAAGCTTTAAAAAAAAAAGAAACCCGTCTCTCCCTCTCATTTAACTGCCCATCTCTCTATCTCTATCTCCATCTCTGTCTGTCTCAGTCTCTACGAACAGCAATTGTTGTTTTTACCAAATGCGATATTAAGAACTTTTGTTTTGTGTGCAACCGAGAATTAATTTGATTTTAATTGAATTGATTATAAATTAAAATTATGATTAGTTAGAATTAGTCTTACGCTTAATTATCATATAAACTATATAGTAATATGCGCTTATTATTTACTTTATACAGACACATAGAAATATATATACGTACATCTATGTATGTATATATGTATATGTATGTAAACACAAGAAATACCAAAATACCAAACTAGAATCGCATAACATAATACATAATATATATATATATATATATGAATATATATATATAGATTATGCTGATTACAATGATGATGACGATGACGATGATGATGATGATGATGATGATGAACTATTTAATTTTTTATTAACGTATTTATATCAATTACTTAATAATATTTATCCAAACATTTCAAATGATATTTCAAACTAAACAAACAAAAATGGAAAAGAAACAAACAACAAAAAATATATATATATATAAATAATAATTAATATTATAAATGTATTTGCAAAATATATGATTATGAGTTTTTCTTGCTTTGCATATCAAAATACACAAAACTTGCTTCAGTTGAGTTCAGTTTCGGTTGGTTCTCTTCATTTCACTCATTCATTTCGTTCAGTGTACTTTGGTTTGCTTTCCTCCTCAGCTGCTAACTGTGTACCTCTGCTCCTGCCCTATCTCTTTCTCTACCTCTCTCTTTCTTTCTGTTCCTTTATGTATATTTCCCCTTGGAATTTAGTTTCGTTCTTCGTTCGAATTCCGTTTGAATTTTGTTTTCTTTTCGTGCAGTGTACTTTGTCTCACACACACAGCCCACTATATTTCTCTCTCTCTCTCTCTCACACACACACACTCACACCTTTTCTCCAAATTGTTTCAGTTGTTGTGCTACAATCTCCAAAAAAAAATACAAAAAAAAAAAAAAAGAAATACCACAAAGTGTTCCGTGTTTATACAACTTATGTAAGAAGCGTATATGTTTTTTTGCGCAGTGTTCTTGCCAACTTGACTTGATTTCATTTTGTTTTAGTGTATAAGTAAGCCAAGAGCAAACACAAAAAAAACAAAAAAACAAAACAAAAACCGTTTGATTACGCAATTTCTCGCAGTGCATCATTTCATGCGGATGTTTTGGATGGAAAACATTTTCTGTTGGTTATTCTTTCTCTCGTTTCCCTTGGTTGGTATCACGCCCAGTTTTCAGTTTGTTGTTGTTGTTGTTGTTGTAGACGAATTTTTTAATGTGCTTTTTTTCGTTGTTGTTGCCCGGTAAGTAAAACAAACGAATCAAGTTGATGCAGCAGCAGCAAACTGAGAGAAACACCAAAAAAAAAAAAAAAAATAACACGGCTAAAACTTACTTATTTATTAAAAATAAAAAAAAAAAATGAACAAAAACAAAAATATAAACCAGAAAAAAGAAACCAAAGAAAAAACAACAAGAAAAAAAATACAACAATTACATTATCCAGGCTAAATATAATATAATTTGATTTGCTTTCCTCTGTACAGCGTTGAATATTTGAATATTTGATTTTCCTCAATAATAAACATCGCCCATGATGAGTTTTGACTTCAACAATAATGGTTTTTTTGTACTCTCTATTTTTTTCTATTGTAGCTAACCACGAAAAAAAAAAAAACAAACACTTAAAAAACAAAAACTAAAAAAAAAAAACAAATTAAAAAACTAATATTTAAACCGAGCCGAATGCATATTTCTAATTTGTTTCTTTCTCTTGATTTATTTTCAGGCGTGTGTTGTTGTTCGATTTTTCAATTGAATTTGACATTTAACATTTACATTAATTACATGTTTAACTTTCAATGAGTTAATTAATTGCAACAAAAAAACAAAAAAACAAAAAAAAAGAAAACCAAAACATAAAAAGATGAAAACATAATAATTACTGATTGTATATGATTATATGATTCATTCGATATTAATTGTAATTACATACTTATTTATTCATGCCAAACATATACACATGTATACATATGTATGTGTGAGTGCCAGTGTATGTGGTGTGTGTGTGTTCTTTATTGTATGTGTGTGAGCGTATATCCTTTGTTGCTGTGTACATACACACATTCACATAGACATACATAGTTGTGTAACATACAATCATACATATTCACTCACACATACATACACACATTATATACAGACATACATACACACACGCACACTAGTTCGCATTATAGCACACTCACATACATACATATCTATAAATATATATATGTATCACACACACCCATACACCCACAAACACACACCCACAAACACACACACACACACACACACACACTTATCTATTGTAATTTCCCTCATTTCATTACAGTTAATCAAGTAAAAAAAACACACACAATATCTTAAACTTATAAGTTATGAAGGAAACTTCGAAAAAAAAAAAGCAAATCCCCCAATTCCACGAAAAATATACATATATTATTAACCTCATCATTTTAAGAACTTTAAGAAAATATTAGAAAGTAGAAATATGATTTAACTTAAATATTATTGTTGCTAGAAAAAAGTGCAAATTTCTTGTTTTTAACAATCCATCAAAGTCGAGGCACTTCATATAATTTGCTTTCAAGTATTATATCCAACAATGTTCAATGTTTCAACAAATTCGAGAATTTTATTTGAAGTTCAATTTTTGAATAAATCAATTTTTAATTTGTTTTTGATTTAGAGCTTCAAGCTAACTAAAATCAATGTTAAACATCATGAACAAAGTGTAGGATGTCTCGCTGAGCACCAACAAAAACCACTGAACCACTGAGCCACCGTACCACCGATATTTATTTTGTGCGTAAATCCTCTTCAAGTACAAACATAATAGTATAATTTAGCTTTACTTAAGTTTAACATTCAAATATATGATCTTGATCTCGAACGCGATCTATCTTGTTGTATTCGGTGTATTCTGTGTTGTATCAAAGACCAAACACACACACACATATATATATATCACTTGATTTTTTTCAGTGTAATAATCTATTTGTTTTACTCCAACACACACACACACACACATACCTGATCTTAAACTCCCCCCTTTCTCTCTCTCTCTCTCTGTCTAATGGTAAATATTTATGGTTTTAATATTTTCATCGGTTTTCGATTTGGAATTATCGATTATTGTGATCAAATAATTTTAAGTTTCATACGAATCATATGAATTTTATCCGTGCTACTTATCTATTATCTATATATATGTATGTAAACAGAGGAAGAAGAAGAAGACGATGATGAACAATCAGAGGACGAGCACAACTTTAACCGTTAAGCTAGAGATTTTTGAATTTACGGTTTTCGGTTTGGATTTGATTTGATTTGTTTTGTCTCTGTTGCACCAGCACCAACGCGATGCAAACTGAGTGGATTCATAGATTTTTCGAATTCTTTTTCGTTACATTTCTGTTCAGTAGACATAGGGCCTAGGTCACCCATCCAATACGCTCTTCCCGCAATATTATGCACCAAAATAGATCAAGATTTACGTTCATTTCTTCGGTTTCGATTTCAAAATACTTTTCGGATTTTTCGGTACGCTGAGCTGTGAATTGAGTTGATTTGTAGATTGTTTTTGCCATATATCTATAGATATATATAATTATATTTATATATTTATTTTGAACTTTTTTCATTCAATTTTCATTTATGATTGACGTAAATTTGTTTATTTTTGATTTTATTACTTATTTATTTGTTCTTGTTCTGAAACACACGTCATAATCGATGTAAATTTACTGATTATATTATTTTTAATTATTTATATTTAGCTCTTGGTTAAAAATAATTTCTTATCATTTGAGAATTACGTTTATTTTCAGATTCTTCTGGATTCCGTTTCTAATTTGTTTTTTTCTTCTTTTTTTTCAAATATCTATAAGATATTTCTATGGCTAGGTTCCTAAGTCAATGAAACATAAACTGCCAAAAGGTTTTTTTTCAAAGAAATGTTTTGCAACAAAAAAATATAAAACATAAAATTAAAACAAGAGAAAAGAATACTAAGTATATGAAAAAATATATAAAACAAAGACTGAGACCCAAACGCAGCTCAACGCAAATGCAAATGCAAGAGAAAAGACAATTAAATGATAGAAATTAGAAAACAATGTTATGAAAGATAACAAGAAAATAAGTAAACAACAAACAAATCAAAATCGAAAAAAAATCGAAAACAAAAATCAAAAAACTTAGTACGTTAAGTGAAACAAAAACTGTGATAAGAAAACTGGCTTCCAGTTTCAATCAAAGATAGAATATAAACTAACTTTTAAGCTAGCAAGGCGAAGTGGAAGGAGAAGTAGCAAAGCCGACATACATACATACATACATATGTGTTGTGTTTAGATGTAAGCCGTGTGCTATCGATAGCCAAAAGCGATGGCAATGATAAGCGTAATAAAGAAAAGTAAACAGACTGACAAACTGTGAACAAGATATGTTAAGAGGATAATGATGATGATGATGATGATGATGAGGAGCAGAAGCAGCGCACTCACCAATTGGGCGCCACTTTGTCGAGGGCCGCGTGCTGCCAGGTGTTGCGCAGCTCTCGCAGCAGGAATGAAACGGGCATGCCATGTATGTTGCCCGACTGCGAGGTGTTGTGCAAATTGATATCCGCATGCGCATCGATCCAGACCAGCGAGAGATTCGGCGTGTGCTGCAAGTGACCCGCCACGGAACCTGCCGGCAAAATAATCGGTAAATCAATGCAATTCGAATTTTCAGTCTGGCAACGCTGGCTGCCATTGCCGCCAGTTGGCGCTCACCGAAGCCGATGGCATGATCGCCGCCAATTGTCAAAAACTGTGCGTTCTGCTGCAGCATCACCTGCACCTGCTCGATCAACGCCAAATTGCAGGCCATAAAGTCCGCATAGTTGCGGATGTGGTAATAATGCTGGCGCTGCTGCTGCAGCAGCGTCTCGGCGACGGCGTAGTGCAAATTCCCATAATCGGTGATGAGCAGGCGCTCTGTAATCGATAAGCAACAACAATCGATAATAGTAAATAAATGACAGTTGAAAAAACAAAAAAATGAAAATTCGGTTGTTTTGCATTTTGATTGTTGACTTTGGTTTTCTTTTCTTTTAGTTTTTTTTCTTTTCAGCTGTTTGTGCTCACCGTCGCTGTTCTGCAGCACCTGACGCAGGTTGCTGTCTCGCAGCAGATCGGGCGCCAGTTCCACGCCCTGTTTGCCCTGCCCCTTGGCAAAGGGCACACCGATGATGCCCAGCCGGGTTTGTTCCCCGCTCGCCGCTGCGCTGAAACAGCGTCCCAGCGATTTGACTGATGCTAGCTGCCGCCTCCACCACATGATCGCGATCTATTGTGTGTGCTGTCCGCTCGGTGACAATTGCCAACTGAGCTCACTTTCGCCCGCTGTCAACTGTCGCAACGGCTACAGAGCTTCGACCTGATGGACCTGATAAACGTCCCATCTTAATGACAATTCCGCAGCGCTCCGCTCTGTGCCGCCGGCCCAGCGTCACGCATGTAACTGATAGCGCGCGATAACCTTGATCCTTGATATACATATGTAGATAGATGTAGGTATTTATGTGTACTTTGTATATTAAAGCTTGCTCCACCGTCACCTACGAATCTGTGCAAGCCCGATTTAGCTTTGAGCGCTTTTGTTTACTTTGCTGTTGGACAACGGCCTGGCGATTGGCGATCTTTTACAGGGTATATGTCCTTCTATATGTCACTCAACCATTTCGTAATGCTATGAACGCTCAAAGAGGAAGGCAGTCTTGGAGGATAATTGAGACATTTACTAATCTTCTGGGAGTTTTAACTATATAGGTGGTTCACTATAAACTATTTTTTTAAGCCTCTTTCAAAATATATTTAAAAGAAAATATTTTTTCTGAAATGGTAATTTAGGTAGAATAAAATATACCATAGTAGAATACTATTTTAGGTCTTATAATATACAAAATATTCAATATTATATTCAAGAGCATAGTATTCTGATTATATATATTAAGATCAATGAAGAACCATTCCAAATTTTTGAGAGCTTAGATGAAAGACGTAGAAATCGATATATTCAAAATAACCGAAACCTATAAAAGCTGTTGTATAATCTTTATAGATAAAAGTCATTGAAATCTGAACAAATCCATAAATCAACTTGACTTAGCGCATTACGCTGTCGACTTGCTAAAAAAAAACCTTTTAATCTACAATAAGCTTAGCATATCGGCTTATTACTAGCTATAATTGTTGTTGTTGTTGTTTTTTCCTTTCGGTTGGGGGCCCTCCAGCTTGCGCTTGTTTTGATAGCCGCTATCAAGGCCAAGTTCCAAAAATAATTTCTACGGAAATCAATCGCAGTTGTATTTCATAATATACATATATAATTTCATATATATATAATTTTTTTTTTTGATAAAAGTGCAAAGTGAACTTATTATTTATTTATAAATATATAGCTCCAGATTTAAATATATAAAATTGCTGGGTACATTAAGGTATACATATATAGGTATATACATGTTTTTTAATCAATAGAAAAGTGCTTTTAAAATCGTGGAAAATTATATCTAAATATTATATATTATTATATATTTGTGTTTATTGCTGAACTTGTATATCTTGGCATATATATAGATATATATATTCCTTGCCAGATCTGCTATGTGTTTTGGTCTAGTCAATCAGTTGACTGGGAATGTTATTTAGATAGCTTGAGCTATAGCTGATATGTGTCTTTAGCTATTTAAATATATAGTTACATTAGATTATTGTTATATTTGCTTTCTATATATTTTATATTTTGTTAAGGCTCAGTCTTAAAAGTACAGTTACAGTTACGTTCTTGGACAGCACATAGATATATTATTATATATTTTATGCTACTTTTTATAAGTGTTTTAATATGTTTTCTTTAGATACATATGTATATATATCCATATATAATATATATATTTATAAGGGTATAAAAAAAAAGTGGTTTAAATTAATGTTTTTAGTTAAGCATATTTGAAGCAGAGCGCTTGGTTTTTGAAAACTTTGGAATCACAGTTATGTTGTGTGCTGTTGTTGTCTGAGTGTTGCCATCTCTTTCTACTGCCTGCGTCGATTGTGATGAGGCAGCATGACAATCTCATCGCCGCTCTCATCGGCCACATCCAGCTGCATCTCCTGGTCATCCTGCCCATGCCCATCCTCGTCATCGTCATCGTCCTCGTCGTCCGTGTGCAGAATGTGCTCCAGGTGCTCCTCGTCGAAGTAGGGCTGTATGGTCATGCCACCTTTAATGGAGAATGGGGTGAATTCAATTAGAGTTGCAATGGCATGATTCAAATGTGTCTGCACTCACGTTTGATGGGCGAGCGGAAGAGCTCCGTTTCGCCATCGTCGCCAGCATCGTCGTCCAGCTCGAACTGCTCCTTGCCCTTCTGCGGCAGCAGCGAGAAGTTGTAGTAGGGCATCTTGCCCCGATGCCGCCTATAGAACCAGAACTGGGCGCACAGGACGCACACGACCACGCCCACTATGATAAGCACACTGGCCACGATGATGAAGAGGATGCGCGGCAGACCGAACACATGCGCATTGAACTTCAGATGGAAGATCACATTCTCGATGGGCTGCCCCGGCTGCGGCAGGCGAAGATCGCGCGTGGCCTCGAAGTGACGCGGAGCCTCCACCTTGATCGTGATGGCGCCCAGGGGCACCGCCGACAGCCGATACTCGCCCAGGCTGTTGGTGAAGTTGCGCACGTGCGTATAGCCCGGGGGCTGGATGAGCGAGACCTTGGCATTGCGTATGGGATGATTGTTGTCGTCGAGCACAAGGCCCGTCAGGCTGGTGGTTGTCCTGCTCAGCGCGCTCAGCTCCGTCACCTCGCCCTTGATCAGGCTGTAGCCGTTGAGCTTGATCACGCCCAAGTCACTGAAGACGCCCTGCTCCACCAGCGTCTTCACGATCTTCGACTCGTAGTTGGGCGCGCCCACCTCGAGGCCGTAGAGGCCCTTGGGCAGCATCAGCTGGAATCGTGCCGCATTGCGTGTCACATTGTGGATGGTCGGGTGCTCCACCAGCCGAACGAATGCCTCGCGCAGCGGCTGACCCTTCTCGTTCTGCACCAGCCCCGTGATGCCGGTTTGCACCAGCGCCAGGAAGTTGCGAATCTTCTCGATGCTGGTGCGCCACACCGAGGCGATTTGCGTGTGCACGGGCATCCGGCAGCAGGACAGGCCCAGCGTAAACATCGGTATATTGTACATGTTGTACAACAAGTTGGTCAGCCGTTCAGTGACATCGTGATGCAGCTGACGCGTGGCCGAGCTGCTGCACTGCAGCGGGGAGTAATTGAACTCGGTGCGCCGGATGCTGTGGGCGAACTTCTCCAGTATGGAATCGGCATGGGGGAAGCTGAGATCCGAGCTGCCTCCGCTGAATGTCAGCATCAGATCGAAGCGTTCGTTGCGCAGGAACTGCAGCAGCACATCCCTGCCCGGTTCCGTCTCCGGGCTGAGAATACGCTCGGCCAGCTCCTCGGACATCATGGGATCACACAGGGAATTGCTGCAAAGATTTGCAGTTAGCAGGAGTTATGCAGCTATGGCACATGACTTCACTTACTTGGCATTATACATGGCGAAGATCGGATCGAACTTCTCCGTCTGCGGCAAAAAGTAGATGACGCTGCGCTTCAGCAGCTGCACCACAGACGCCTCCTGCAGCTTGTGACCCTCAATCAAATGGCGCACCAGATTCAGCATGATCTCTCGGCCCAGTGGTGCAGCGGTATCAAACAGCGAACTAACCACCAGCAGCTTGTATTTGTGCTCCTCCGGTTCGCCGATCTGGGATGGAAGAGATGCAGTGGGAGAGAGAGAGAGAGAGGTAGAATGTGAGAATCACTATAAATGGAGCTAGCATATGGGAAGAAAATAATATGCAATGGGGAAGTGGAAGGGTCACTGGGGAAGGATTATTGGAGAAAATCATTAGGGTAGGATTATTGGGTAAGGATCATAGGGGAAAATCATAAAGGACGAATCATTAGAGAGGGATCCTAGTGAAGGACTCAATTGGGAAGAATCAGTAGGGAAGGATCATCAGAGAAAAATCATTAAGGATGAATCAATTGCGAAGAATCAGTAGGGAAAATCATTAAGCAAGGATCAGTGGGGAAAGATCGACAAGGAAAGATCATTAGGTAGTAGGACTCTCTCGTCCGCTTACTCACATTGGAAGTCAGTTTGAGGTAGTTGAAGTGGCGACTGAACTCGTTGTCCGCATAGCCAAAGCTGGCGATCTCAGGATTCTGATTCTCGAACTCGGCCAGGCGATTGCGCAGCTCGGCATTCGTGTGGTACCTGGTGTTGACGACGTTCTCGATGATGCGGAAGTCGTTGGCGGACGCCCAGTGCTGTGGATCGTCGCGCATGAGGGTGACATCCAGGCGCTGGCCATAGGGCTCCGCAGCGGGCACCTCCACCTCGACGCGCAGCGGGGCGAAGCCATCGGACAGCACCGTCACATTGTGTCGTCCGGGCAGCGCGAGCTTCCAGTAGTCGCCGAAGGTGCCGCTGTAGGTCTTATGATTGCCGCCGTCCAGGGCGATGGCTGCCCCAACAATGGGCGTGCCAATGCTGCTGCGCACGAAGCCATGGATGCCGTGATGCACCTGCTCGATCAGCTGCAGCAGGGGCTCGCGATTGTCGTGCCAGTACTGTGGCAGCTCCTTGGCCAGCGGAAACTTGTCGCAGCCCATCTCGATGGTCAGCTCCATGCAGCCGGCGCGCACATAGTTCCAGTCCTGCATGCCGCCCGTCACGCTGTACCACTGGGCGCCATTGGTGATGCCGTCGGGGAACAGCTCGTTCTGGAAGAGGGCGCACGGCTGGCCCAGATGCATGGTGGCGTGCGCCTTCGAATAGACCAGCGCCAAATGGCGGAACAGCTCGTTGTCCTCGGTGGGATTCAGCTTGCGGCCGCTGATGCTGGAGTCGCGCAGCCGCGAAAATGGATCATTGAAGTCGTTCTCGTTGTCGTCGAACGGATAGTTGGCCACCAGGGAGCCGCCGTGCAGGTTTGCCGAGAGCACAAACGGTATCGAGAGCGTCCAATTCATGACGGCAGCCACCTCCGGCTCCGTGACCTTGTTGTATTTATCCGTGCCATATTGATCCGGAAAATTGCGATTCAGATCAACCATATGGGCATTGGGCCGGCCCACGCCGCCGGTGCGATCGCCCTCGATCGACACCTCATAGCCATCCGGATTCATGCTGTAGAGGAAGTGCATCCGTGTGCCATTCACCAGCCGTGTGACCCGATCATCGTTCCCATAGCGCTCCAGCAGATACTTGGTCAGCAGCAGCAGCATCTCCTTGCCGACCACCTCGTT